TTTTGCAATCCGTACATCCAATACAGAGATTTTTCACCGAATAGGAATGTGGTAAAACAGGGAACTTTAGCATCGCCTTAAAAGAAATTATATATTTTATAAATATATATTTCTTTTATATAAAATTTCGCCTTTTTCATTTATACATAATTGTAATTTTGCTCGCTGCCGACAACAGGCGTTAATCCAAAATAATGACGTCTGTATTATTAAACAGCGAGATAGCAAAATTCTCCATTAAAACTCGCATGTCAAAAATCGATCATTGTCTGACATACGAAACCTGTCTGGAGAAACAATATATTTATTATTTTATTAATTATAATTGTTTGAATGTTATATAAAATATAATATTCTTTTTTGATTTGTAGGATTAATTTTAATTATTAAAGTTAATCTAATACTAGAAATAGATACAAAACAGCGTTGTGTACGACTTGAAAAATATTAAGTCATTTAGTATATTAATTTTTCAAAATTTTTTGAAATTTTAATTCTTAAATTGTACAAAATCTATATTGATTTTCTTAACAGTTACAAAATTTGAGTTCTGACTTACATTGATTATTGTATTTTAATTGAAAGTGATGGAAATTTTTTCATACTTAAATCAAAATTGAAATGTCACTATCTTTTCGATTTATTTGTTACAGGAGATTACTTCTTACTGGCACACCCCTTCAAAACAATTTAATGGAACTATGGTCGCTTATGCACTTTCTTATGCCTAATGTTTTTCAGTCGCATCGTGAATTTAAAGAGTGGTTTAGCAATCCTGTAACAGGCATGATCGAAGGAAACAGCGAATATAACGAGAACATAATCCGCCGTCTACATAAGGTCTGTACGTAGTTTTTTTTAACTTTTTATTATCTTTTTTGTCTTTTTATTTTTTAATTTAATTTATAAATATATTATCAAAAAGAAATTAAATTTCATATAACATTCAACATATGTGTAGAAATGTACCGTACATATATTTAATTTTTTATACAGTAAATTTAATATCTAATAAACATTCTCCGTAGGTGTTGCGGCCTTTTCTTTTAAGACGATTAAAAACTGAAGTGGAAAAGCAATTGCCGAAGAAATATGAGCATGTGGTCATGTGCCGTTTGTCAAAGCGTCAGAGATTTCTGTATGATGACTTCATGTCGAGGGCCAAGTAAGTGAGCTCTTTAACGTATAGTATTTTTGAAATTTAAAAGCTTTGTTCTAAGCTTTGGAAATAAAAAGAATATTTCTTGGTAATACTCCAGATTAGAGTCCCCCGCCCAAATGATCTTGACATACGCTATTCAGATACTCTGAATAACCTCCAACAGTTTTAGCCGTCGCTCATTATTCGTTAAAAAGTTATTAACAAAATAAATCTACAAAAATAACGTCTCATTTCAAAACTTTCACGCGAAGCGACTCTCAGCCCATCTCCCCCTGCTTGGGGGCGCACGATTTCCACGCGAAGCGCTCTCACCTCGCCTCCCCCCTGCCAAGGAGCGCACGACTTTCCAAAGAAATATGGTCAATCTCGGAAAGTCATGCGCCCCTTGGCAGGGAGGAGATGGGGTGAGTCCCCAAGCAGGAAGAGGAGGGGGAGGTGGGGTGGGAGTCGCTTCCCATGGAAGTCGTGCCCTCCCGAACAGAGAGGGAGGGGAGGTGGGGTAAGAGTCGCTTCCCGTGGAAGTCGTGCGCCCCCAAGTAAGGAAGTGGGGGTGGAAGTCACTTCGCGTGGAAAGTTGTAAAATAAATTTTAAAGCAGAAAATTTCTATTTTATATAGTAGAAAAGAGATATCATTTTTTTTTAATTTCTTTTGTCAATTACTTTTTAACGAATAACGAGCGATGACTAAAACTTGTTAAAGGTCACTCGGGATCGTGACCTTGACAACATATGTCAAGGACAAGGTCATTGGGAGAGGGTTCCCTAATCTTTTTTTCTTAAAAATGTGACATTTTTTATTTCTTATTTTTTATTTCTTTAGAATATGTGATACTCTTATATAGTAAATTATTTAAGCCGATATTTATAGTCGATTCTTATCTTTCATTTAAGACGTTATTTTTTCATTTAACAGATTTTACATTTAACTCTTACATTTACGATAAGAAGTATGGTCGCTCCTCCCTTAAGATGTCATAAACCAATTACAGAATTGTATTAGCACCTTAAAACATTACTTAAGTCGATTTTAAAATAAGACCTGACTGTTGGTCTTAATTAGAATATTACTATTATATATTATTATTGTATTTAATGATGATATATATTGTTAAAGAACGAAGGAAACACTCGCCAGTGGGAATCTGTTGAGTGTGATTAATGTATTAATGCAACTACGAAAGGTGTGTAATCATCCAAACCTGTTCGAGGTTCGACCGACCGTTTCGCCATTTCAAATGGAAGCGATTGAGTTCGTAACCGCTTCGTTAGTCTGGAGTGTGCTTGATTATGATCCCTTTAAGGTAAACAATATTCTGTGTTAACCGTGCTCTTATTTGATTTATTGATTTTTATGTATACTGGAATTGAGAAAAGCAATAATTTATTCGGTTTTTACGAATTGTGATTTGTCTTTGCAGCACATCGAATTGTCTAGTTTGAACCTTTTGCTGTTGAACTTGGAGTTGATGCTCAGTGCATTTGTTGCACATAGAGTAAAACGTCTGCGGACGCCTAGAAAGTTAATAGAGGAGATAAATAGTCAACCGGAACCGCCGCCGAGATGTCCATCTGGCCGAATCAAGATCAACGTTAGATTATCGAATCAAGCGAAGCCGCAGCAGCAACAGCAAACGCAGACTAGGCTAAAGAATCTGGCTGGCGTATTACCCACGCCAAGAGTGGGTACGTCCCCCTTGATAAAGTCATTAAATACCAGCCACAGTGGTCCGGGACAAGGTAGGTCCAAGCTATCCCATCTTACCGCGTTAGCCGTTAACATTTTCATGGCCATTTATTGGTAGCAAAATTACATTTTGCGAATCTCAAAATAGTTTAAAATAGCGGTAATAGTTAATTATTAAAAAAATAAAATTTGTTTATTATGTATATGTATATTAGTATCATACATTAGTTATAAGATATTAAATGCATTGAAATAATAAAATAATAGAAATGCAACTTTTTTTTTATTATGTAAAAAGAATTATGGGATTCTATATTTATTTGAGATTCTTAGTTGCCAGTATGATTCTATAGTAATGGAAAAAGAGATAAAATGTTTTTATTGGTCATGAAAAGATTAACGCAATGAATGGATGGAATTCGTTGCGAAGAAACATGAACAAAACCTTATCCCGGGCTACGAGGGAAGAATTTTAACAGGATATTGTACGTGATGTGATACAAGTATTTGTATTGCACTTGTAGTTTTGTGTCAATTAATATTAATTATAATAAAAAAAGAATTTGTTAAAATTTATATCGACACACAATATTAAAATTAATAAATAATTCAATTAGATGCATTGACGTTCGATGTGTACTTATATTTCAACAAATCTCTTTGTATAACATTTAAAATCTTTACATTTATATAATTGCATTTTTTAACTATTTCATACTACCAAAGAAAAAAAATTTATGCATATTTTGACAAAATTAAAATTTAAGATTTGAACATATCAGATCCGTTAATGCATTTGATTGTACCAAGTAAATTTTTAATTAGCTATTTTATTTCTTTTAATTTTTTAATGATTTAATTACTATATTTAAAGTTAATGTATATATGTATGTTAATCGAACACGAAATGTAACAACTATTATTCTTAGGTGTTACATTGAGAGTTGCTGGTGGTCAACAATTGCAAGGTTATTCTTTACAACTGGTGCCGCATCAGGCTGGCGTGAAAGGTAAGCGAGTTTTTAGATTAACAACACAATCTTATTTTTGAATTCGTAATACATTCTCAAACACAATTAAATGTATTACAAAATTATAAATACGTTAACTTAATTTTATACTATATTTTGTGTAATTATACTTTTAAATATGAAAATAATATGAAATTATGCATCATCGATCAGTAACTGTCGCTGTGAGTTTCTTGCTAGGCAATTACTTTTGCAGTGATGCTAAATTAATTGTTAAATTCCTTGGGCCAGCTTGTTTATAATCTTACCGTTTATAAGCATTCTAGAACTAAGGACACATTTCATAAAAAATTAATCTTTGGAGCGAATTATATAATAAATTTGTAGTTGCTATATTTATATTATACTTTTACATTTTACATTTAAAATTCATTGACTATATTGGAAACAAATTTTTTTATTTTTGCTTAAGCAATAACATATTTATTAGCATAGTCATATATAGAATAAAATATTAAAAGTGTATCTAAAAGTATAAAATGTAAATTTTTATTAAATTCAAATATATAATTTTATTAAATTGAAAATAGCTTTTCCTATGGCAACGTTGGGGAACAATCCACAAAGTACTAGCGTAACAACTACCACGACAGCCACAAACGCGCAAAGAATTACGGTGGGAAACGCTAGCATTAGAGATGGCATTCAACGACTGGCGACACAAACTGTCACGGTCAAACAAGGCGATTCCGTCCAGAGAATAGCGGTACCTAGTTTCGCGCAACTGGTTCAAACCTCTACCGGCAGACACTTTATTCTGACGCCGAGTCAACAGAATACTAACACAGGTTTGTGTCCGATTACAATTTTTACAATTATTTTCGTAAACTTAAGTTTGTTAGCAATGACAGATAAAAAAATAACACATTTTGTATAGTTTCGTTTCCAGTCATGACATCGAGCGGATCGCGTTTTACGGTGCTGTCTAAGTCGATAATGGGTTTGGCCACATCGGGTGCTACGACGGTGAACAAGGTTGTCAGCGGAGTAGTAACAACGCCAAGTGGTCGACCTATCATGAGGGTACCTCCTCTGAACGTAACAGCATCGCAATCGTCACCAAGCGGAAATAACAGCCAACAGACAGCTAACCAGCAACAACCGCAATCGATACGTGGTATTGTTACCAGACAAGCTCAGAAAGAGATCGCGAAAGTGCAGAACAAAGAACAGCCTAAATCCGAATTTTATTTGGTAATTGAATGTAGATATCTTAGTAATTTACGTGATTCTCATTTTTCTTCGTTTGTTTTTTCTTTTTATTTTTGTAAAAAAATGAAGTAATTTTATCTAATGGATTTTATATTTAAATGTTAAAATTGTTCTATTAAGTGCTTTATTTAAATTTTTTAATAGAAAATTTGTATTTTTTATTATTTTTTAGTCTCAATTGGAGGAGGAAAGGAGACAGAGAAGACAAAACAAATTGCATCTCCTCGCAGACATCAATGAACGAAGATGCGCGGCGTGTCCACTTTACGGTGAAGATCTGTTTATGGCTTTGAGAATCGGCAAACCTGCGACAGCCTGTCGCTGGCATGATGGTTGGGTGCATTGTTCAAAGACTCGAGAAAAGATTCGTACTCGGAAAGAGTTCTTTTCACACACGGAAGCACTTGCAGAAGCTATTAAAAGCACAGAGCAGATTGTTGAAGAGCTCAAAGAGGTCTTTGAAAGGTTAATATCCGATATAATTTATAAATATGTACGTATAATCAATGTATAGAAAATAATCTTTTCCTATAACATTAAATACTCAAATATATAAGCTTAAAAAAATTAAAATTGTATTGAAATGATGATTGTTTAGAATTAAGCGAAAAATAAGATTCTGCAATCTTTGCTATTTAGATCATCCTTTCTGGAATTAAGTTTTTTTTCTGTTTTTTAATATTCGTGCAGATATGTAGTCTACGTACCGGCTGTACGCGCTCCAGTCCCTCGGTTCCATGTGTCTCATCCGCCGCCGCACAAGTTATGGAATGAGCGTCGTCTGTGGACTGAATTACAGCAACAAATGTCGCCGAAATTATCTCTCTTCCATCCAATTTCGTGCCACATGCTCACACAGTTCCCCGATCCCAGATTGATCCAGTATGATTGCGGCAAGCTGCAGTCGCTAGATCGTCTGTTGAGAAAGCTGAAGTCGGAAAGTCATCGAGTCCTCATATTCACGCAGATGACCAGAATGCTGGACGTATTAGAAGCCTTTTTGAATTTCCATGGGCACATATATCTGCGACTAGATGGTACAACTAGAGTGGATCAACGTCAGGTAATTTGACCTATTAACAAGATACTAAATATTGGAATTCGTTGCATAAACATTTAAATTCTTAAATTATTTTGGAGGATTTTTAATACGAATATTGAAAGCGTATTAATTTTTTGCGAGTTTTTAAAACATAATGACTAACTAGAAACGTAATAAGAAATGTAGAACATTTTATGCAACACATTTTTGTTGTGAGATTAAGTGGGAAAAAAAATGAGCGTTAATGAGAATGATGATTTGTTGCAGGTTTTGATGGAAAGATTCAACGGTGATAAGCGAATATTTTGTTTTATCCTGTCGACGAGATCTGGTGGTGTCGGTGTGAATTTGACGGGAGCGGACACAGTGATATTTTATGATAGTGATTGGAATCCTACAATGGATGCCCAGGCACAAGACAGATGCCACAGAATAGGACAAACGCGGGACGTACATATCTACAGGTACACGATGCGAACTAATAATATAAATATAATAAACGCGCGCGAAATGACTGAATAGCTTCAAAAACTCAAAATATTTTATTAATTTGAAAATATTTAATTGCAAAGATAACAAAAAAATTAGCATGTTTGATGGCGAGATAATATGCAATATAATGATTTATCTTTCAGATTAGTCAGCGAGAAAACTGTTGAAGAAAACATTTTGAAGAAGGCAAATCAGAAAAGATTGCTAGGAGATCTCGCTATTGAAGGCGGCAATTTCACCACGGCATACTTCAAAAGTGTAAGTGCTCATTAAGAACTAAATAAATCATACTATTATTTATTCGTATTTATTAATCAGAAATATATAATTTTTTTTTATTACTTTATAAGAAATGCGAAATGATTTCTCTTATACAGAAATTTCTTTTATTTATTGCATTATTACTTGAAAATTTTTTAGGTTAGATTAATTTTGTTTTTGTATATTTAAAAAATTTTTAATTATAACATTTTACATTTAACATTAAAATTAAATAATAGTATATAATATTTGCGGAAAAATTATGTTTTGGTTTGACAAGACACATTAATGTCTTCGTCGATATTTCTAGTTCTTTAAGGTAATTCCGTTTACTTTTTGTGTAACAATAAGATTATTTGCAGTCTACTATTCAAGACCTGTTTAACATCGATCAAACTGAGAACGATGCGTCAGCACGAATGGCTGAAGTGCTCGAGCAGAATCGGGATCGAGAGAAGGCCTACAGCAAGGACATGACAGTAGGACCATTTCAGAGTGGTTTTTCAGGACAGCATACGGAGGAAAAGGCAGCGATGGGTGCTCTTGAGAGCGCTCTCGCTGCTGCTGAAGAAGATCTTGATGTTCTGGCTGCAAAGACTGCGAAAGCAGAAGCTGTTGCCGATCTTGCTGAATTCGATGAAAACATTCCGCTGGAAGAAGCTGATAAAGACGACACGCAAGTTAGCAAGGCAGAACAGGAAGTTCAGAATCTGATTGCTCAGGTAGGTCGAACGTATTTTTAAAATCGTTGGATTAGTTAGAAATTGCCTTGGTTTTTATTCTCCTTTTGTCAATTGTCATTTAACTTTCATGTTACTTGTCATATAATCTTTATGTTAAACTTTCGATTAATGGTTCTATAATATTCCATTTAGCTGACTCCAATTGAACGATATGCGATGAAGTTCGTCGAGGAATCCGAAGGTGCGTTTTCCGCGGCGCAACTGGCCGCAGCCGAACGGGAACTCGAGGAGCAGAAGAAGGAGTGGGAGTTGGACCGGTTGCGGGCATTGCGCGAGGAGGAGGAACGGCGTATGCGGCTTGCCGACGACGATGAGAAGCCACTGACATTTGGCCGTGAGGATGCGCAGAATCAGGTTAATAGTACTGCCGCCAAAAGCGGTTCCAGACGATTAGTTAATAAGAGGCTAATAGTACCAAGTAGAAGAAGTTTGCGTAGACGTGGCGATAATAGGAGACGCGCGCGCGATTTGTCGTCGGAAAGCGAAAACGAAACTACTAGCACCGAATCGGATTCGGAATCACAGGAGGAGGATGTGGTCGAGGATAGTCTTGACGAGGAATCGAGTCACACGGAGAGTCAAAGTCAAGGGGATGAGGGTGAAGAGGAGGAAGGAGAGGAAGGCGAAGAGAAAGATGAGAGCGACGAGGAGGAAGAAGAAGAGGAGGAGACTGGCGAAGGGAACGAAGATGGAAGGGCGAATAATCGCGATGATTCCGAGCGTCGGGGGGGTTTCTCGAGACGGAAGGGTCGTCTGGCAGGATCGGGTTCCCGTAGTCGAAATCATTTTGATCTAAATAGTCCACGTACTAGATCGCGTGGGAATGTTAAGATCAATCTCTGGACTTTGGACGTAAGTCCTATCCTGCCCGGTATAAAGCCAAACTTTCGCCGGAAACGCAAAAAATTTTATCGCGCGAAGTCGGAGGAAAATCGTCTCGAAACCTTCTCATCAGTTGATGTGTGTCGTAAAAGAAGCATTCGGATTAACACAAGCGCCAAGATATCTGTCAATTCCAATCAGAACACAAAACTCGAAATCATCGAGATAAAGGACTCTGATCGAAGTTCATCGGACAAGCGAGATTTGAAGGATGGTCGCGATCTCGCGTCATCCTCGATCGATTCGAATAATGTGGACCGATGTATTGCTGATTTTAATACGGAGCAATCTGTTGGTGATCACGTGGATTCGACATTAGTCACTAAAACACAATCGAACAGAAAGTTGGAACTGGCCTCTGATGTAGTGGACAGTCAAAATATAAAAAAAGAAAAAGAAAGAAGTGACGATAAAAATACGAACGGCACTAATTTAATTGCGGTCTGCTCCGTTCAGGTAACGCGGTGTTCACATAAAGTTATGTCCACGACCTACAGAAAGCTTGAACCCGAAGTAAATCGTAACGAGGATGCGGAGAATCTCGACGTGAATGTCAGCATGAGGAATTCTCTGTCTCCTTCGAGCACGATGCAACCGGATGCGTCTTTGAAACGCTCGAAGGAGACAGTGGCCAAATCCAAGTTAGAATTCAGCGCGTCTGCCAATTCTTTGTGCAACAACGTGCGAGGGAAATTGACCGCTGCTGCGCCGAGAGAATCAGACAGAAGCGTCGAGTCACCATCTAGTCGTTCGGCTCCTCTTTTACGATCGAAAACGTTGCGAAATGAAAGTCCTGACACGACCAACACTGTCTCTAAACCTGTCGCGATATCCCGCGTTTCTACCGTGCAGAGAAATTCCAAGATTAATGTAAATACTGATGAAACTCGTAGTAATGCGGTCGATGATAAAGACAAGGACAATAGCGATGAAGTTAATGATGATGCCGAGTCAACGACATCTCTGGTGATGCAAAAATCGGATCAAAAATTTAATTTGAAAAGCGAAAATTCAGACGTTTTATCGCAAGTACCGGAAAAAGGAATAAGTGATGCGGCATCGAATGTGCCCAATTCTTTAGTACCCTCGATAAAAAGCGAATTTAATTCAAGTGAACCTAAATGCAAAATACGGAAAGTAGAAAACATAGTTCAGCGGAGCGTAATAACTCGTAGCTCAAAAATTTCCTCAACTGTCAATCATTTAGAAGAAAATAAAACACGATTGATGAATGATAAGATCGATTCGAAAGTATCGGAGAATTCGCAAATGAAAACGGGTCAGGGAATTCGAAGAGCCGACAATTTAATTGCGGAACAGAGCAGGATTACGCGATCGGTAAGTCACTCAAGGACACCTCCACCTAGCAATGACGAGACGATGACGCAACTTTCATCAAAGTTGAAGCGACGCTCGGATACTCCTCTTCCGCGACCGATCACAAGATCCACCGCGAACTTTCCTGCGAGACTCGATACGGTACTGCCCAGTCGAGTTGAAAAGTATACGACACGGAATTCGAAGCAGTATCAAGACAATGGCCTGCTGAATTCTCCGATGCCTTTCAGACGTAGTAGATCGATACCGCCAATGAAACCGCGGGACTCGAAGGAAGGTTTGACGACAGTCGTCTCGACAAAACCCCGTCCAGACACGCCTCGACCTAACATACCGCCCGGTCACAACAATGATCAGATACATAGGGTGACGCGCTCGGGATTGCTCTTGAATTCCACCCTGTCGATGAAGTCAACATCATCACCGTTGTCTTCTCTCGCTTCCGCATTTAAAACAAATGTCAAGCGGGTACGAACCCCATCGACGAGCAGCGAGAACGAAAACACTGCGAGTGAGAATACTGGAAGCTTGATATCGCAGCCCTACGAGAAGCCTCAAAGAACGGCCAAGGTTGTAGCCATTCTCACTTTGGACACGAGGAGTACCAGTAGCAAGACCTCATCAAGTCAGTCCAAATTCAATGTTAATTGCGAGACGAAGATTCAGGATAAGGAGTTATCCATGTCAGACTCGCTGAGGGAACAAGAGGCCAATTACGAGGACTGCAACTCGTCTGACGTAAAGTCCAGGAGGTTGCGTAAGGAAACGAAGCGCGCCAAAACTATATCAAATTCGCTGGAAGACGAGGACGGTTCTAATGATGTTAGCGACGAAGATCCGCAGAAGAGATTTCGTTCCTCGCAGATTTCCCCCTCACCCTCCTCCTCCGTCACAACGACGCGATCCGAAAAACTGAAGAGCACCACAATATCTTGAGCCACGTTAAAGCATCATTATGGTAATCATCAACGACACGAGCTATTCCGTTGGGAATATAATTGTTATTCGATCAAGCAGTCAAATATATCTACTATTATGTCTGCTACTCAATCCGCCTATTATGTGCGTGATACCCGGGTTTATGCTTAGCATTTGTCACATGATAATTCTTGATGCTTTTTTTCATTAATATTCTTTCAATATAAAACATAAGAAGAAAATCTTCAGTATTTGTACATTAATTCTATAGTAACATCGAAAAAAGAAATAAGAAATATAAGTCTTATTCTCTTAAGAACTGAAGTAAACGATTAAATATTTATTTCGTGCATATAGATCTGAAGATGGAGCTTTCCATATATATATATAAATAAAATTTAAAAATTATTTTAAAAAGAAAGACAAAATTATTATGTCATCAATGAATACTGTAAAAATAAAATATTGTCTTTTTTTCTTTGCTTGAAAATTTATGATAGACTTACAGAAGCACACATTTTAATTTAGATGAGTTTACTGAATTTTTGTTACTTGTTATAGATTTTTTATTTAATTGTATATTAGAACTGATTTTTTATAGAGAAACAAAACATAATTAAGTATAAGTGAGAAATTGTTATTTAATAGTCGAGTTAATGATAAACGTTGAGAGAATTATAATAAGGGAATAACATAAGTAAGAAGTTTCATGGGATAAAGTCTAATCTAAACCTGGTTTGTAGAAACGCCTGTAATTAATCGCGCGTTGATGACGCGTCTTTTGCCCGTACTTATCCTATATTTATCGCTCAGTGACTGTTTGATTCTCCCTTCAGAATAATCACGTGCGGTTATTATAGAAAATAGAGAGAAAAAGAGAGAGAATTCTATAAGGAACAGATACATGAGAAAAACTTTAGCTCTAACATTACATATGAGAAAAATTACATTAGAGATTTTAAATGTGAAAGAAAAAGAAAAAATTTAGAAAGAAAAAGTTTATGTAAGAACGACGAAAAGGAGAAGAAATTTTATTGGAAAAAATTATCGATATTTCACAAGAAAGAGATGAAACGGAATCAAATAGACATGTTTAGCGTTAATGTGGGGCACGAGTACGCATCCTCTTGTACATAATCACAGTATAATTATAATAAACAATGTATTTCCTCCGGGTTGTACCGGATAGTACACGTGTAATATTTGTAGCGTTGTAAATTGTACTCCGACTCGCCGCCCCCTCTTCATCACATTTTACTTTATTCGTTGTAAAGATATCATGAATCCGTTCCTTCTGGCTGCACTTTCCGCGATCTATCTTGGTCTCTTGTTTTTCTGCAAATATGTTTCATTAAATTTAGAATGCAGAACGGGAAAGTGCAGACGGTAAGAGGCAGATTTTCAGTCAAGTATGCCTAGCGATTTATATAAACGGCGTGATGAGCGAAATGGACGAGTGTATTATATTAGAAATGAGGATCGAACTCTGATCTCAATCAAGCGGTTCTCTAGTATGCTAAGCTATTCATACACGTATATTGACAGGCGTCACGAGCAAAAAACGTGATTAAAAAAATAATATCAAGAGTACAGTATATCAAGTACATAGTTTGATTCTATTTTCGCTATTTCACGTAATTTGATTTGAATTTTACTTGAATCTGGAAAAGGTTTATATAATAATAATTTATTTAAAGTAATGAACGATTGATACTCCTGAAAAGGAGGTATCGAGGCAGCCAAAGTGAGAAAAAGTTTTATTCGTGCCGCCTTGAGCTACGTAATTCATAGGTCGATGACCTGATTATTATATTATATATACATACTACATGTATATGTAATATATATGTTATATATATTATTGTGTATGGTAAGGATGTCCTTCCTTCGCTCTTTCCACTTGCCTCCTCCCGCCACATACACTCACACACATTCACACAGTAATAATTAAGTTGCGTGCCTGTATTTTGTATGATCGAGCGAGAGTTCGAAGAAGAAAAAAAAATAAACGAGATATTCCTTACTATATCGAAATGTGTACCCTTATTTCTTGATGCTTTTCCAAGTCTGTGTCGATCAAAGGTTCAGTTCCGTTTTGGTGTCAAATCATTCTCAGCTCAATGTGCTTGTTTATATATAATCGCGATTTAACGCGAAGAACGACTTTTTCCTTTCGATGTCAGTTTGGTGTGGCAAGGCTATCATGACCGCACATTTTTCGAGAAGATATACATGTACCTTAGTAGGCATAAAAAGAAAAGAGAGAGAAAAAGAGCTCCAATAAAATTGTTCCATTAAAATGGCACCAAAACACTGCCTTTGCCATTCCAAACTTGGAGTCCGCAGCAAGATATGAGCAGGCACATGAGTGAGATCATCATACTGCGTCTATTGTGCATTATATATGTATCTTTCGATCTATACATGTACATGTTTGTAAAAAAAATTGTGAATACACGCAGTAATAGATATAAAGGAATATATCGTAAAGAACTCTTTCTCAGGATATTTAGAATGAGAGGAACGAGAACCTTTGAACGTCTACGGATGTCCCAGCCTTAATTTTTGCAATGAGTTTTTTTTGTCCACGTTTTAAATCCACGTTTTCTTAGGAAAAGTTTTAAGGAAATTTATTACAACTTTTTAAGATTTGTGACATCTAATATTTTGGAAATTAAATCTCGAATTAAAACTCTCAGAAAGTAAGATAAATCTAAGTAAATATATTTGAATTTATTTTGATACAATTTCTAATTTAAAATTTGTTAATAATTGAATAACGCGAAAGATTTTATATCTTGATGTTATAATTGAAAGTTTCTTGATTTTGTAATTATGTATTTCTTGAATCTCTTTAGAACTGGACAAAAATATCGGGAAAAGTAGTATCGCTCCTTTCTCTCTTTCTTTATTTTCATTATTTGGGAGTTTATTCGTCAGGTCCGTCTTTCTGTAGTCTCAAAATTATTTATATTTTTTTTATTATTTGTGCGCAGACACATTATCATATTAATTACTGGAAATTTTAATTTTATTTACGATTTAAATACGGAATTTTCACGAAAATTTCAGCTTTATTGATAATTGAAAAAAATACGCTATTTAAAAATCGTATCAGTAGCACATTGCAAACTTTGGCGAGTACAGAGACGGACTTCATATGAGAGCGAAAATTCTGTCATAAATCGCATGATATCTCACGTATGACTTTAACATCTTGCAGATTTGGTTATCGGAACACACGATGGAGCAAATGCCAGTAAGCAAAATATAATATATTTTTATCCTTTATTGCAAATCTACAAATAAATTAAGTAAAGGATGCACTTATCCATTTATTCGTCATTCTGTAATTTGCATTATGATAATTGATATATATTATTAATCTTTGATTTATTATGCACATAAGAAAATGAACAGCTTTATACGACTTTGTGATAAAAATAAAGGAAAATAAAAGTGCAATATTCTTAATTGATAATGAAGCGCAATAGAGGATTGAATTGTTGAACTTGTTCTTTGAAGAATATTACTAATTGAATCTTCTTTTAGATGTGGTGTCCGCCAACACCTCCTACAACGGATAATGATGTATATATCGATTATTCTCTTGGATTTTTGTATGAAAATATCCCCATGACAGAGGCTCAACTGCCGCCAATTTACGTGAAGAAGGATCGGAACAGAAGCAGAATCGATATTGGTATCACTGATGATGGTGAGTCAATTTGTAGATGATAAAAATTGTTTTCTTTAATAAATAAATGGCTAATACAATTTAAAAAGCCTGAAAGAACCTATACAGATATTAGTGCCGATTTATTGTAATAACATTTACTTAAACAACATATATAACAGTACTAGAACTTGTAAATTTAATATTATATATATTCTAATATCGTCATTATATTGAGTATAAAAACAGCACCGAAGAGAACCATAAATGTCGGTCGAAACATTTGCGAATTATGAGTATACGAATTTTATTGCAATAAATTGGCATTGCATACTAATATCCACGTGGATTCTTTCTGACTTTTTAAATTGATCTATTAGTTGATTTATTCTCAGAGCCAGCATATATATAGTACCTTCCATAAGTTTGGAAACACATATAAGTGTGCAATTTAAGAAAATACGTAATAAAATCAATATATTTTGGGTTTGTAAATAATTATTTAATTGAAAAAAGACAAAATGGAAGTATATACATACATACGTTATCTATAATAACATGCTATTAAAATATGGAATTTTAATTAAAATGCGATTCATACGAAATCTGATTCTTCGAGGCCATTTTACGATTTTTACGGAGTCTGAAATCAACTTGTGACTCAAACGGTTTACCATTTTTATAGAAACCGTTAAACTACAATTAAACGATCTATGATGTGTATATACAACGCATGCAAGTACGACGTTGCAAAACAAGTGATATATAAACAATAGACCAAAGTGCGAAATTCAACCTTGGGCTATGAAATACTTGTTTAACATATTTTCGGCATGTACAAGCTTATAGGTGTCTAAATAAAAATGTTTATTGTTATTTAGACTTTTTACGACGTATTTAAACCAAAAACATATAGATCGCAGTTGTGTAAATTTTTCTGTATAACGTAGAGTGTTTCCAAATTATGCATACTTTATCTTATTTTTAAATATTAAATTAATATCATCCGATATGTATATTTTAAGGATACCTATGAGTGAAAGTTTCTATCTTGTAACTTGTCATACAAGTAGTGATGATTGTAATTACAATAAATATGAAGAAAATGAAGCAACTCTTGGCAACTAGATTGCTTATATTTTTTTAACTTTAATTACAGAATATCTATATATTAAGCATGCACATGATAGACAAAATATCAATCAATTATTGTGTTGTTTATGAAAAACAATAAAATTATATCGTATCCGTTTGCACGGTTATACACCAAGAACTTTTTATAAATTCAAAAGTCGTCCTATATTTCATCTATCTGTGTGCTCTTGTTCTTTTTAGCATTTGTTCTTGCCCTTACCTATACAAAAATGTAAGACAATAAGACGTAAGCAGTAAGCGAATCGGCTAATTACAGTAGAGAACATTATTGACTTACTGTGTATCGTATAGTTTTCTACCGTGAATCGCTTATTACTTGTGTCTTACTGCCCTATATTTTTCTATATTTCTGGCTTATGATTTTTCTCTTGATTAATGTCTATCTTCATATCTTCTTTCATTCGATCAATTCATATTACTTTCTTTACAGGTTGTCGACCGACGAAAATGATGCGCCATAAGGAGGAGTCCGTATTAGCTCCAAGGTCGCTCTTTGATCGGCCGTCACCGGCATTGATGAAGATGCGTCGCGACATGAAGCTGTATAAATATCGTGCGATTGTACGTCCCCCTATGCCGGTCTTGAAGACCTCGTCACACGTGACGAAAACTTCACCGGAACCGGATCAAGCTATGGACTGGCTAGTCTACGAGGAATGGGGCTTGTTACATTCCATCCAAAACTATCAGAACTTACCACTAAACACGATGATTCTCTCGCCCGGTCATACGCCTAATTGGGATATGGTTGCCGATTCCATCAACAATGGCGCACGTTTATACAGATCACCCAAGCATTGCAGAAACAGATACGAATCTGTGATAATACCCAGGGAGGAGGGTAAACTACTGTACGACACCGCGCCGAAGAAACAGAAAAAGCAGAAGACGAGTGTTTACAAAACGCTGCCAGTCTCTGAGGTATATAACTGTTATGATATTGATATACGATAGCATCAAAGTATCCTATGCATTTTTTATTTCTTGCAGATTATTTGTATTAAAATTAAAAAAGTTAATCGAGCTCGTGTTAAATAACAAAATAAAGCCAAATTAAAACGAGCAATATAAGATATCAAAATGTCATGTTTGTGTTTACAAATATAGAAATTCATATTTAAAATAATTAAACGCTTCGAGTTATATGAACATGTAATATTATCTTTATTTTGCTATTTTTTCAGCAACAAAGCAAGAGCAACAGAATAATGAGAACATCGCAATTACACAATCAGGACAGAAATGGCTCCTTTACGTCGACAGGCAATCAGAGATATGAAATCATGAAGTCAGTTTCTAACAAGCGAACGCCTACCGTAAAACCAACATCCATCGTGAATTCAATGATGAGGAATAATCCGAACGTCGATGTCCTGGCTACCGACTACAAAATACTGGTCGATAATCCATCAACACCGATTGACATTGCTACGCGACGTGCTGATAGGATCAAACTAGAGAAGCTAAATAAAGCAGTTAGTATAAGAAACAGTTAAAACTATTACTATTTATTACTATTTTAAATCTCAACTAATACAATGTTTACAGTGTAAAAAAAATTTTGACTAACTATTATTCGACTTCACAATAATTTTTATTGGAATGCCAAATTTGCATTACACTTTTTGACGTGCATGACCACATTATGCAAGAAACTTTTGCACTGAGAATGACTGGCGTTTATACATTGGTATATCTATCAATTGAACACTATCAAACATCTTGTTTTTTGGACTTTTATTGAGAACTCGTACTATTGCTGGAAACAAGATAACATTCTACAAGTTTTTGTACGTTTTTTTTATCCATTCAGTTTTATGCAAGACAATTATGACTCAATAATATTTACATATTCTAATTATGCGGTTTTTTTATCATAAGTTAGTCAAGTTATTTTTATATGCAGTTTAATTTGCATTGAGGACTGAAAACGTTGATCGAAACGTCTGCACAATAAATTTTTGATTATAATAAATATTATTTACACATCCCAAGTTAACGTGGGCTCTTAAATGACTTTTTATTTCTTGTTATTAAATTTATTCTTAGAGCCACATATATATCTTTATTAATATTTACAGTTAAAATTCATTTTCGTTTGTTAGATCAAAATAAATTTAATGGAAGAGAACACTTAATTTACCTTGAATTTGATATTGGCATTTGAGTCATAAAATCAATATTAGCCGTTATATTCACCACACTAATATATTCAAGGAAATATATGCTAACTGAGATTTACAGTCACAGGTTTTAACTCCGGAACAACAACAACAGGTAGCAGCACGACTCTTGCAACATCAGCAGCAACAACAAGCCGCTCAACAGCAACAACAGTTGAAGCTACAACAGACTCAACAACAAGCTGGACAACAAGCAATCGGAAATTCTGTTGCATCTCAAATTCATCAATTGACACAAGCAACGGTACCTAGCACGAAGGTTGCGACTAACGTGAGTTTGAGCAATGTAACAACTACAACGGCAGAAAAGCTCGACCGGGAGGAGGACAAATGCAGGACGTGAGAACGACATCGGCAAACGCGAATATCCAGCAGGCAGCTCAACGAACTGCGACGAGTTTAGTGTCTGCTGGTCAAACTTCTGCTGGTGCGGTAAGTGGTCAAAAGGGAGGCCTAGTAGGCGTCACGATGGCCACAGCAGCATCGGGAAATAAGATCCCAACGCCAGCACAAGTGCAGTACTACAGGCAGCAGCAGCAACAGCAGCAAGTATTATTGCGGCAGCAGCAACTTAAAGTATTGCAGGCTCAAGCCGCTAGCGGTCAAAAAGTATCTGTCGCGGTGTCGGCTACGGCGGCAGCAGCGGCAGCGGCACAACAACGAGCTACCTTAATGAAGCAGGGCATTGGTTCGGTCGGTACTGCGGGTGCCGCAACGCCGCAGACTGCTGTGGGCAAACCAACAATGACTAGAACACTGTCCGAAACTGAAATAGCTGCTGCGTTACTGAAGCGGCAGGCGTTACAGCAGCAAGCGAAGGCGGCTGCTGCCGCAGCGGCCGCGCAAGGACAGGTGAGTTTTAATAAGGGAGAAAAATTAAAGAAAATATATAAATGATTAAAATATTTATAGATATCCGAACTAATTCAAATTGTACCACACTCATTCTAAAAAGAGAAAAATGAAATATTATGGAACGCAATTTTATATTCTTATCTCGCAAAAGTAATCGGCCGTGACTTTGCTGCAGGTACCTACGCCAACGGGACTTACACCGGCACAGATCTTCGCTCAGGCTGGTCTGCAAGTGCAACAAGCAGGGACTTCCGCGGGTGGTACTCCGGTAGCGACACTTGTGAAGACGACTAATGTGCCGGGTGTCCGTACCGCGACTCCCCAACAAATCCGACAGCTTGCAATTCATCCGCAGATTATTACGCAGAGAAAACTACCGGCACAGAAAGTCGCGCAGTTAGCTCAAGTCGCAAATAAAGCTGGTGTGCAAACGCAACTGATCGTTCAACCTACTAAATCGCTACCTACAACCATGACAGTACAGCAAATTCATCAAGTAATGAAACATGTGCAGCCCTCGACGATGCAGCAATTTAGTCACGTAAAGAAATAAGATTTCTTTTTAAATTTTGTAAACTGTTTTAATTATTATGTAAAAAAGTTTCTACGTAACTATATTTCTGAATCCTTAGAAATTTATAAAATTATTCGTAGACTATAATCATTAAAATTAAAAAAGTATTGAATATTTTTAGAACTAAATTTATAAAGTAAACGCGAAAGAGAAAAGCACTCCAAGAAAGATCACCGAAGTTAACAAATACTAATGAACGCTTAATTGTACGGCTTAATGAATGCTGACTATTCTATAATCGCAGGTCTCCACGGGGCAAACGGTGTCTCAGGCTAGTCAAGTTGTATTAGCTAAATCACCGTTGCAGACTCGTGTAATACCAGTTGCACCCGCATCCCTGAAACAAACTATTCAAGTGGTGACTGCCAGCAATCCTCAGTTACGACAGTCCACGCCTATCCAAGGAAAACCTGTTACTAGTGCGGTAAGACGAAGTCCTGGTCCAGGGACTAGCCCCAGTACAAGCACAAGCCCGGGTGCGGCAGTTTCCGGTTCCACAGTTGCTGCGGGTACCAGCCCTTCCGTAGGTGCTACTTCCGTGTCTGCCTCGAATCTAACTTCTCCATCTGTTCTTGGTCAAGTGAGATTACAAACTTTAACACAGCAAGTACAACAGCAAACACAACAGCAACAACAAACTCAACAGGATACTCAACCAAAATAGCTTTGTTTTACGATTGTATGGCGATCGTTGAAATTGTATTGGGAAATTCAGAAACCAAATTGGTTTCACATGTTAAAAAGTAAAAAAATTATAGATATTACAATATAAAGGATTAGTTTAGAATATTTTTCTTTAGAATGTACGTATATAGAAAGAAGTAATAAATACGAAATATCAATATCACGATATGTGGTTGTTAATAATAATAAAAAAATACCGATTTAAGCAAAATATTAGTTAAGAGTATTTTTGATCGAATGTATCGATAAGAAAGGAAATATTATTTAAATATCTTGTGTGGATCAATCATTAATAAGATAGAAAATATCAGTTCACTGAAAATAAAATTCGAATATTTTGAACCTATTGTCAAATAAAACGTCATTAATTTACCGACAATAAATTACTCGAATGTTAATAAGATGATGAAAAAAATTTCTATAAATATTTTGATATATCAGTTTCTGATTTTCCCAATTCAGCTTCAATTCAACAGACACTCAAGTTTCAGTTTTTTTCTTTCAATGTCAGAACCCTAGTAAATGAAAATAAAATTTTATTGATATGTAACGCACATTAAAGCATTCCAAGCTTTGCTGAGAATAGTCGTAATTTCAATGATTTGATTTGTGTAACACAAATGACATTTATTTATAACAAATGGACCGATTTATTTAGCGTATTAATATCAATATATTTTCTATCTATATAAAAAATTAACTATATTTTGGCAATTATGAACTACATTGTTGAAATATTAACAAAAACACTGAATTTTCAGGAGAGCGTAAAAAAATTGAAGTGAAATGATCTTTTAAAAAATGATCTTAACTTATAAAAATATTGAGTTATTATTCCATTGAAAAATGTAGAACATATTTTAAATCTATTAGTTTGATTAAATAAAAAAATAAGGAGCGTAGCACTCATAAAATGTATGTTATACATATGTGATATTAGTACATGGTAAATAATTTGCATGTGATGTGTCCTTGGACAGAAGATGTTGATAACGAGCATAGTCAGTTTTTTTAACGTCCAATTCCGTCGTTAAGTAGAGAAATAGTGTTTCGACCGAAAAATTTGTCTGATAAAGAATGCGTGATGATATATTTTTTAATCACTGAAAGCACCATGCTGATTGGCATTTATCGTAGGATGGTGTATGGTGAAGATTGTGTATCACGGAAAACGAAAGAAATGTCAATTGGCATGGTATCTTTAACGGTTAGAAAATATATTATTGCACATTAGTTTTCACCAAATAAATTTTCCAATGAAAGAGCTATATCTCCGCTCAAGGAGTGAACTAGATGGCAAAACAACTATGTTCGTTATCAACACCTCTTTTTCAAGGATACGTGACGTCACGCCCAAGTCATGCACATGTGACATCGAATATCAAATATACATATAGCGTCAATATCAAATATACATATAGCGTTTTCGATCCGATCGGGTTTGCACCAACCTTGGTTGGATTAATCTTTCCTATTGGTTGACGTCATCCGCTCTACCAATAGGAGAGCACAAAACGCCATTAATCCAACTCAGGTTGGTGTAAACCTGGCCGGGCCGAAAACGCTAATAGACTTTGATATCACGTGGTCGCTACAACCTCTCGTTACTTTTTCATTTGATCAATCTAATTACATTATAAATGCGTTCATATAGGACATTAAATTATTAAGAATGAATATTGAGCTGAATATATTCTTAATTTAAACGATTTACAAAACATATTTATATATTATAGCGATAACACAAAGTTTCTTACTTTAAAAATTATCAAATACAATATATGACGTTTTTAAAGGAAGGCTTTGAATTATGAGCGAATGTTATTTTACGACTAAATATTTAAATAATCTTGTATAAAAAATAGTTTTGTAGATGAATATGTAATTTTATGTAGTTTGTTTTTACGAATGAAGATTGTTTTCATTCAAGTCGAGGCTTCAATGTCGTCGTTTGTATGTAGGAAATTAAATTCATTATGATCGTTTCCCTCATTTAGTAAAATCATTCAATTCATTAGAATATATTTGCTTTCGTAAATGTTACAAGCTATCTGATTAGGTGATTCTCTCTGCATTAAATATAAATATTACGTTAAATGTTAGAAGTCGTTGCGATATTTTTTGCGAGAGAATATTCCAATGATGCTTGGCTGTACAGATGTATTCTTCTGATTTTTATTTTTTTTTATGTATAATAGATTAATAGAAACGAAACGGACTGTTAGCCTCAAAAAAATACGCTTAACTCATCGATAAACTATATGAGATAACTAATCCAAGTAATATAAATTCAGAAGATGTCTAAAAGACTACCTAAGGGTAATTGGATTAGAATACTTCTTACATGGTCAAGAAAAGTTTAAAGGACTAGAACATCTTTTATATACAAGGTGTCCCGAATTTAAATGGCTAAACTTCCGGAGCGTGTAGGGAATCAAACGAAACAAAAACGCATATCTCTAAAGGACTTTTTTTTTATCGATCCTCTATACGAAGTTTAGAGGATCTTAAGTGTCTCATTTAAATTTGAAACACCCTGTAGATTGTCCTATAGAAATCTTGTGATTTACAGAATGAAATCTTTAAAAAAATAATGAAACACATGTAACTTAGAGCGTTTATTTAATAGATTTTATTTGCTTCTATTTAAAAACTACTGCTCGGACGTATTTTGCCAAAAGGAAAAAGTTGCTTCTACCACCGACGATACTATTAAAGACAGTCAGCGTTTATGGAATCGCGTGCTAATTATCAATAGAGATGATAACTGCAGAGAAATAATTGTAATTTTTCGGCAATATATAAGATATTATAGCGTTAAAAGTATACGTACTTATTTATATAATAAAAAAATCACGAATTTAATAATAAATTATCGAAATTGTTAATAATCATAAATTTTTATTAATATCAATAATGTCATCGTTCTTCAATTATCCATGGGTCCCATTGATAATCACGAAAATTGGCCCAGGACCGACGGTCTTCAATAATATCTCGTCGGTACTTCTACACAGAATCGCACTACGTGTTTTGTAAATTCTAGGGCATCTATGCATATACGATCAAAACGTCGAGCTAATATTTTAGACGTTTGACAGATGTTTTTTGGATATCTGAAGAATGTCAGGATTCTTCTACCAATATTCTTTTAAATTGAAAAGACATTGGGTGCTTCTTCGACATTTAAAAGAGATCTGACAATTAGGTCATTGAGATGTCTTTTGAAAGAATTATGAAATTGCATCATTGTGTGCAACTTTGTATTTATGACCATAGGGTATACTAAAATCACTCTGAGAATGCGGCGTTTATACTAAGATCGTTACAAAGTCACATGCGTTACAATACAGGGTTTATTACGTTTACGTGCAAGGCGAGCCATTTGAATGCGAATGTCTGAATTCTCCGATGTTACGGCGTTCGATCAAGTAAAACAAAGTGAAAAAAAGAGAAAAAAGCAAATCCTTATAACATAAGCGAGATAAACGATGTAGTGTTCTCGATTGAAAACTCACCGTGTATATTGATATATATATATATATATGCGCTTGATGTCGATTAGGAGAATGTTCTACGCATATATCAAACAAATTTCTAAACTCAATTTTGAATTTATTTTGTGGGAAAGGTACCATTGTTCTAATAACACTTATGTTTTCTGCGGCACCCTCTGTAAGTACGTATGTACGATATATATGTATATATGTATGTATAATTTATGTATCATAAGTGCTAAAATAAATCTCGTAAAGCGATGAAAGAAATAGCCTGTAATAGTATATTTTTCGTTTCAACAAAATTATTAATACCAAATTATTAATTGAAGTTTAATGTACAAGATATAGTCCTTTTGCGATATTTGACTTTTTTGTACAAAAAGTTAATGTTACCTTGAAATTCTAATTGGAAATCACATAAATGTATTTTTTTATTTTAATATCTTTTTAATTAAATTATGGAGGATTTAAATAAAAAAAGAATTTTTTTTATAGGAAATTTTCCGGCTATGAGGATAAAGTCATAAAATTTCTAGTTTGTGGCTATCGATATACAGATATATACAAATTTTATCTATAACATTTTTTAATGCGTTTTTTTTTCGAGATTTATGGTGGCAATTAAAATGACATGTTGTGTATGTATAACATATATGTATATATAGAGACACATATATAAATTATACTCTGTATCGATAGTTACAAACAAGCAATTATAAGTAGTATCGACTTCATCATCGTAGGCAGTAAATGTATTTTAAAAAACTTGCAATTATGTCTTTATAACAGGATTAAAAAATAATATATTGAAATAAGAAAGGGATAATAGGTAGTTAATAGGTATAATTAGATAGATAATAAGTAAATCGTAATTAAATGTTTGTCTTTTTACTTTTTATGTGGACATAAAAAACTTTAAAAAAAACGAGACTTGAGCGACGATTTCTTTTTCCTGATATATATTCTATGTATGAATATACAGATACATAAAACAAGAAAATCACAAGTTGGATTATACTGAATATTTACTAAAAAATACAGTTTATATGGGATAAAAAAACAATACATTCATGATTTCTGATCAGAATTTCAAGATAATATTAAACCTTTTTATTAAAAAAGACAAATATCATAAGAGCCATTTTTTGCACATAAAACCTCAATTATTTCGAAAACCTGACGTGCTAATGGAATTATTTGGTTTGTGGTATTCAAAAATCTATAAAGTATACCTTGTCTAATTCAAAATAATTTAAAGAAATATTTTTTTAAAACTAATTATCGTTATCTTTATTTATACTAGCCTTTTCCTTTGTTTTCTTGGATGCACTCGTAACGTACATCCTGAAAAAACGAAAAATCAAAGCAATGTTGTGTCCTTTTTCTTATTTCTCTCTATCCCATGAAAAGATAACTGCGAATAAAGAACAAATCATTTTTTAAAATTTTCCCAGCATCGGAAGGACGCGTACCTGCCATCAACTGGAGGTTTGAAACTTCAACTATCGATAGAGATACTTAGCTTTTAATCGGACTGTTAGTATGCGTCTAACAGCCATTCGCGCAAAAAGCGTTTTTTTTTCTCAG